TCTGTTTTGTCTCTCGCTAGGTCGAGAGACCAAGTTTAATACTTCGTCTTGCATTTTAGACACTAAATGAACTGTAATGTTACACTCTATCCTTCATATAATATTTTTTTGTTCACCCTGTTGTTTGTTTCAAGAGTCATGAACGCCACAGCAGTGATGGAGTGTTTGCGATAGCAGATATGACATTGCATTTCTGAATTTCCGACGTCAGTATGAAGGGTGAAGTGTAGGATTATAACAGCTCGTAAAAACAGGTAAAAGGAGGGGCTGTTTAAAGCACGGGAGAAGCTCGTAATAATTTTGGTAAGAAGAGAAGTGTTAGCTCCTGTGAGTTGTTTGGTGTGAAATAGAATGACGGACGATGGAGTGGGGTGCCGGGTTAAAATAACTGACATCGCGGTGCTTTTAAGTTATATACTCTTTTAATTTACTCACTGATACGCACTGCTCTGATGTTTCTCGGAAACAGAAACTTTGAACGCTGAAATTAAATAATGCTTGGTAGCTTTAAAAGTGTCAGGGCAGTAGCCTTGTCTTAAATACGACGGTGTTATGGTTTCCTTAGGTGCAGTTTTCTTCAGAAAACTGTACTTCTTCTGTAATATACGACTGACAGTGTTTTGTGTGTTTCCCCTCAGGAATTCTGTAAATCACCACGTGCGACCTCTGCATATCTATCTTCGAAGCTGCTTTAACATTTGTTGTGACCTTGAAGTGACAGGTGACAAGCGCGAAGCTGACAAACTCTTGTAATTCTAGTGCCGAGGTTAAGAATCTGTTTACCTGATTCTTATTCCCCATACATCTGAATGACGTGGTACTAATTGATCACAGGGGGCACTTCACTTTTCCTTTTACATGAAATGTTCTACTTTTTGTTTGCCTTGTAGGATATATAATGTGGAAAGAAATTAAAAGATCGGTCGAATTGCCTTCAATGCTTATGATGATGATGCGGGTTTGAGAATATCCGTTACAAATGGCTGCCGTCATGTACAGTCCTTATGAAATGATGTGTAAAGCGAAGTTCTGCGACTGCACCACAGAACTTTGTGAACAACGGAACAGCGTGTGTAAATAACTACTGGTAGATGGAGTTTGGAATTCGAACAGTAACTGGGCGGGTTTCCAAAGCGGGAGTTCGATTCGCTTGTGTTTTGGATGGCCTCTGTGACATGAGAACCAGCCAAGCAGAAACTGTGTGATAACACAGAGTCCACTCAATTGGTGTGTTGTGTGGGAGAGCATGCAGAAATTCTGCTTCCACGGATTACCGTAGGGCTGACCAATATATGACACCGTCTCGATGTCCGTGTTTAAATCCCAACACTCAACAAAATGTACTAAATAAGCTGATTAAATAAGTAAAAATGACATTGAAAGGATTAGTCAAACGAATGATGCAGGACTGTCATATACACAACAGAAAATTAATATATTTCTAGAATATAATTTTCATGTGTAGGAAAGTCACCACAACAAGGAGGAGGCAGGAATAATACGACTTACTAATATGGTAACAGTTTCTCCTGAAAAGGAACCACAACTAAATACAGTCAGTCATCGCTTTACTAACATTCACATTGCGAAATTTCGCTCATACGAACACATAATGAAGTACATACCCTCCACTTGACACATTACAGACCGCGACGTCACCAATCCGAAATATTCCGAACGAAATCCAACACTTGCGGACGAAAACGCGAACAGATGACACAGTCAGTGACGTCGGGGCAAGTTCATTAGTGAGTTCGCATCAATGCTTTACTTGAACTTGCTTATTGTGAAAGATTTTTTGTGGCGTGTGTATTTTAACACCGAAAATGTTTCTGTTGTTGGTATGTATCGTTTCAGGCATTAAAAATTGTTATTTAAAGTTTTTTTATAATTTATTTTGGTCCTTCGGGTACGTAACCCGATTTTAGAACATTACGCTTATGGGAAACAGCGACTTGCTTTACAACATTTCGTAAAACGTGCCAGACTCTGACAGACGGCAAATGCCATCTGCTTGGCAGACTTATCTGGCATTGTTGCGATGGAGTGAGACTATGTATTTGTGGAATTGGGTCTTCAACGGGTCCATCTCCCAAGTAATATATGAGCGAATATGGAGCAGCGGTAGAATGATGTTGGCAAGCTGAGTTACTGTTGGCTTTGAAGAAGGTCTTTGCTCGGAGAATATAAACGTGGCGAAGTCCAGAAGCCGGATTCTGGAATGTTGCGATTTTTTTAATGGCGGTCCCCCATAAGTGAAAACAGTAGCACATGCTTTGTTTGTACGCCCCTGAATTCATGATACAGGTGCAAGAAAGAGAGTGAGTGAATTGATGTAGAACAGTGTGAGATAGAAAGAGGAAGGCATGATGAGAAATGTGCAAATCGGTGCGATGAGATTACATGCTGGAGCATTGTCACGTGAAACTAGATTATTCCACCAATATCCTCTTTTTGTGTGGAATGTCCTCTTCAATTCCAGCGTTGAACGCTTTGTCTTCTCGCTTCTTTACCCCGTGGTATGTTTTTTGGTTTTAGAACAGCTGGATTTACGTATGTCGACATACAGATGTGACTACACAGCTCTTGGAGCAGCCCCTGGAGAAACTTTGTTTCCGAATTACTTGAGAAATTCCCCATCATTTATGAAAACCGGCTTTCACACATGCCGCCACTGGGCCGTATTTCGAGCCAGTTGAATCCACTCGTCATTCTCACATGTTAACTCCTTTAAGATATGAAGATTTCTGTCTTCTGGGTTGTTGGGATGTGTAGTCTGATTCCTCCTGATGACGGAGGCAGTATGACCTCTGAAACGTTGGTTAACATCGACCAGACTACACAGCGCAACAACCCAGAAGACAGAAATTTTCATACTCTGATGACGGAGGCAGTATGACCTCTGAAACGTTGGTTAACATCGACCAGACTACACAGCGCAACAACCCAGAAGACAGAAATTTTCATACTCTGATGACGGAGGCAGTATGACCTCTGAAACGTTGGTTAACATCGACCAGACTACACAGCGCAACAACCCAGAAGACAGAAATTTTCATACTCTGATGACGGAGGCAGTATGACCTCTGAAACGTTGGTTAACATCGACCAGACTACACAGCGCAACAACCCAGAAGACAGAAATTTTCATACTCTGATGACGGAGGCAGTATGACCTCTGAAACGTTGGTTAACATCGACCAGACTACACAGCGCAACAACCCAGAAGACAGAAATTTTCATACTCTGATGACGGAGGCAGTATGACCTCTGAAACGTTGGTTAACATCGACCAGACTACACAGCGCAACAACCCAGAAGACAGAAATTTTCATACTCTGATGACGGAGGCAGTATGACCTCTGAAACGTTGGTTAACATCGACCAGACTACACAGCGCAACAACCCAGAAGACAGAAATTTTCATACTCTGATGACGGAGGCAGTATGACCTCTGAAACGTTGGTTAACATCGACCAGACTACACAGCGCAACAACCCAGAAGACAGAAATTTTCATACTCTGATGACGGAGGCAGTATGACCTCTGAAACGTTGGTTAACATCGACCAGACTACACAGCGCAACATCCCAGAAGACAGAAATCTTCATTCTCACCGCTGTGAAAACCTCCAATCTTACATCCTTTAAGATGTTTTATTTTTTATGTCTATCTCATATTATATATTTGTCCATGTTATTATTATCGTCACATCTCTGCATGTGTTTCTTCCCTTCTGATGTTTGAATTCTGGATAATGTGTGTCTTTTATCTGTTCACGTTTATGCCAGTTGAAACGCTTTTCATGCCGTTGGCCTAAGAGAATTCCGCTGCTTTGATGGCGTTATGACTGTGTTTTAAATGGATTTCTTTGCTAACCTCGCTGTTTGTTTCGCTAATTTTTATATCTGCTTTACCTTTCATCTCTGGTTTAGTACGTGTAAGACCGAGGATCATGAGGGCCAGATGATGGCAGTTCACGTCACCGGCAGCGATAGCTATTTGGTCGCGATAATTGTGTTCTCTGTACGATGAGATGGGATGATGAGTCGGGAAGCTATCGGGCCGATTATCCTTTGCAATCGAAATTGAGAGCCATTCATGATGACAGCTCTGGATTTACAACCTCTCTGTGTCTACTTTTGATTATAAAGCAAAATAGAAACAAGCCGTACATTCTGGTCTATATAAAAAATGGACAGTGTTTCGAACTTCTCAGTCGGGTGAGTAGAACTCTTACAGATAATATCTAGCTAACTAATTATATGGCATACGGAACCCGAAGGTTCATCACCGAATTAACCAAAGCCTTCCACCGGACCCTGTCCGGGCTTATAGATAATGTAGGGGTCCCATATTAGAAATTTTGCTTGGAATCATATTATAATCGTGAGGTTATATTTTTGTTGTTCTTTTCTCGCCAACTTCTGGAAACTGCTTAAATCGTCACATTTTAACGGGAAATGTGCCATTTCCTTCCAGGTCAATAGGTCTGAACTTAATAATGATGTTTCATAAAATCGCCACTGCGGAAAACTACTGATATGTGTCCTTTCAATTTCCGTGCGATTAAATAAAGAGTAAAACTTACTTGAAGTACTCTCTGATGCAGTTTGATGTTTGTAATTTGCAGTGAATGGAATTAAAATTATATAGTAAATAATTCATCTAATCTTCATTTATTGAAGTCCGCTTTACCAAATGCCTAAGTTACATAGTAAGTAATGGTACTTAATTTTTAACGGTGATATCAAAGGCAATTAATTGATGTGGCCTGTTTCCATTAACTCTCCCTATTTCTCTGAAAAATCTGTGGATTGCAGCACCATCCTTGTATAACGTAAGCGATAAATTTATCGTCTCTTTAATATATTTTTTCTGTTTACATAGTTTTCCTCTGGTTCGACTTCTCTTTTTGATCTTGAGTTCAATATGCGTGGTATCTTTTACTTTGTGGCTTGTTCCAGCTTTGTTAACGCATTTATTATGATTCTTTGCAGATCATGTGCGAGAATTCACCTGTGGCAAACTGTATTACCGAACGTTCTACTTGGACGAGAAAAGAGATGCTCTCTACGTTGGAGCTATGTAAGTACAAGTCACACAATTTTGTCATGAATTATATTTCGAATATTCAGGATTGAAGAGTGAATATCACTTGTAAGCTTCTACCGCCCCTTATCACAGGCGGTCACACGTAGGTTTCTGATTGCGGAGTCCCGGGTTCATTTTCAGGGTAGTCCGTATGGAATTTATGATATAATTGACACGTGCTGAGGTTCAGATTTGTTGTTTGTGTGAATATTCCACCAATGCTATAAGTTCGTCTATAAATCACCATCCAAGCATGTGAAAGTCTTTATCTTCCGGCTTTATATGACAATCAAAAACATTGTTAATTTATTGTAATGAATGCTGAGTTGCTATGCACTACGAATATATTTAATGTAAAGAGCATAAAACATACATATAAGGAATCATGGTTCTTTGTATTAATCCGAGCTTAGGTAGACTAGCTTCTTTCGCAGGTCACAGGAAAATTTAATTTGTTTTACAGGATTCTTAAGTTACCATGTTGAAATAATTTATACACATCATGTAACTATTTTAGATTCATTTACACTTTGCCAATGTCTTCTCATAAATATAATAGCTGTTAGGTGGGAAGGGGGATTCATTTTTACTGCCGACGTTGCAGATTTCTTAATAAATAACAAAGCGTATAACACTGTTTAGGGTGTTTGGCTTGTCCATATAGTTCTTACCAAACTGACGTGAATTTCCCGTTTTGGCCTCTTTGATTTTACTAGAATTAAATATTTGTAAGGTATCAAATTTGACTCGGATGTTGAGTGTTGCTAGCAAAGAACAATGGATCGGCGTCACATTTGCACAGTTTATGTCATGAAGTATGCATTAGAATTTTGAAGTTTCTAATTCATGAGGCCTTTCCTCATTAACAAGAAGCTGAAAATACAGAACGTGAAATGGTTTTTATGCACTGGAATGTAATTTTGAATTTTTCATTATATATCTTCTGACTGGTAAAATACGATGCAACGTTTGAGCATATTACTGATTTCAAAAAAAAATATTAAAAATCAACTCAAAATGTTCCGCGTGCTTTTGATTGAGCTGTTTGACTAACTCTGCTTCTAGTGAGAAGAACTTCGCCCATTGGCTGGCTTAAAGTATTTCTGTTTTCGTTCCGGCTTCCTCCTTAAGGTTTAGTGAATTTGAAGTGGTAAAATTAGATTTTTTATGAAGCAACATTTTTGCATAATAGGGATGGGACAGAGTGATGCCGTACTGTCTCGCTAATGTAGTTCTTACAAGTGGGACACGCTTAAAAAAAAGGTAACAAGGAAACGATGTTCCTACTGAATGTAACGCGTAGGCCTATTAAGGGAAGCTTTTTTGTTCTTCCAAGATCGAGCTCTCCTTGGGGTCTATATAATGTTTTAGACCCTTCTACGAATATGCAGTCTGCAGTGTTTTAGAATTCAGATGTTCTGGAGTAATGGCATTTAGTTTATAACCAGATGGGAGTTTGAATATAGAAGGGCTACTCAATTTTACACATGCTGTAGCGTTCAGTTGAGTATTTTCTGTATTACATGGATGCGTTTTCTACTGATGTCACTGTCAGATCCAGGAAATGCCTAATGTTAAATATACGTTATTCACTATTTTTAATCACGAAATGTCTGTAAATTCTGTAGCCAATTTTAATTTAAGCTACGCAGTCATAATTGCATTTAATTAACTGATTCACCAGAAGCCGTACATTTATTTATCATGAAAAATTAGCCACAATTTCTTCGGTGTTTAAAATAAAACAATACGTTTGGTCCTAACCTTAGGTGGTGGTGTCTTATGTGAATACTATAAGCAGTTTCGTCATTACCAGTGCACTCATAAAGGCGTTTCTTTCAAATATCGAAGAGATTCAATTGTTTCTGTATGAATTCGGTGCAAGAAGGCCGTGATAGTTGATGAAGAGGGGTCTAGGGATCACTGGCCGTACCATTGAGTAGCCCTGCATAGGCGTCACGACGCGCCATGGGAGGTAGGATGATTATCATAAGGGTGTCATCTTCTCATCTCCATGCTCCGTGCATTAGCAGAACTCCCTGTGCATTACCGCGCTGTAAGACCGACTGTGTTAAAGAACCACTCTGGAACGGTGAAGCCATCCCATTGCCTGCTAATGCTACAGATAATTGGAAAGAAATGTGAATTTCTAGAACCCGTGGAAGGAAAGTGTGTCCCTTTTCAGAGCTTTGATTGATTAAGTTATTTAGTAAAGCTTCTCAACATCATAGAATAAGGTGGAAGATGACCACACCTGGGTAGGGTTGTGGAAGGAAGCGTTCTTGGCCTACTTCAATGCACAATCTTAATATTCGACAGGAGAGTCTGAATAAAACCACTTAGAACCTGAGTATATGCTGATGTTCGGCCGAGATTCATTTGGTACAGATTACATATAGAGTTGTCTCCTTGCCTGATTAAGCATCACGCCACATAGACGTATGGGGGATTGGAGGCACAGATCCATAAATTCTAAACAAACTACTTTATAAATCTACATCATCAGTATGAGGTAAGGATACGAACCACGAGTGCAGACCATTCCTTCTCTCTTCGTTCAGAATAATGAATGCTCCCGAATGTTTTTCGCAACATTTCATTTAATTGTATGTTTTTTCATCAGCGGTTTACTTTTAAATGAGTAAATGAATTGGTACTGGACATATCTAATCTCCAGGAGTGCTATAGTGATAACTGTTCTGTACTCTTTCAGCTGACAGTCCCTGCCGTAAAAGTTGGTAAAACACTGTACCACAAGCAGTAATTTAACTAATGTAGTCTGAAACTTTATTTTTAAACTAATGTGCAGGGTTTATTCCATCCGGTTCTTCAAGGTTTTATTCCGTTAATATAACATTTTGCTTTTTAAAGATATTCCTTATAGTCTTCTCAGTTTGGCGTAAAAAGTAAAGTAAAGTTTGTCCCACTATACACCATGTAGGCGCTTGGGGTGAGTGGAGGTATAGCTCCTCTCTTCCTTGACCTCGGCACTAGATGGGGGTGAGTGGTCAGCATCACGCCCCGGCCGGCTTTACGCCCGGGAAAGGACCCCGGTACCCATTGTAGAGGAGGCTGGGTGGCCCCCAGAGCCGGTCTGGACGCAGAGGCTAGAGGAAAAATCCTCTGGCCCCGTCGGGGATCGAACCCCGGTCGTCCAGCCCGTGGCTAGTCACTATACTGACTGAGCTATCCCGGCTCACTCTCAGTTTGGCGTGGTATATTTAAATTTTTGGAGGAACCTCATAAACGCCCAGACTTCAAACTGTTGAGAAGCTGACAGTACGTTCAGCTGGTCGGGAAATTCCTTTCCACTTATGGAACCGTCGAAGTCCCATTACCGTGTTTACAAGAGCCTGCCACCAATCCCTATGTTTCGCTGGATAAATCCAACCACTCCTTTCTATCCTATTATCCTAACTTCAATTTCAACATTAACCTCCAGTCTACGCCCTGTTTTCGATACTGAATCATATTCACAGTCACCATCATTGTCCTTCAGATTAAATTACCTTCTGTAATAAAGTAGTGAGACACCGATAAAAGTGAATAGAACGCAGCTGTTGAAGAAGGCATTTGATGATTGCATTCGATGGCGCCCTAATTCATTATAGGAATGTTGTGTTATGTGTTGTCTTGTGCCGAAGGAATTTAATTATAATTTCTTACATTACTATTCTCGTACATTGCTATTTATGGTTCTCTATTGCGCACTGTTTCGTCGTCCGGTGTTGGAGCGTAATGAGTGGGGCGACTCACAGTTAACGGATTTATTTTAATCCCCACAAGGGGGATATAAAATGAATTACAATGGTAGTTGTACCTGCAGGGGTTTGCGACAAAAGCGCCACGTGGTAGTGTTGGCCCCTCTGGGACAGATAAACCCGCCTGTGTTGTAATGCTGAAATATGGTCAGCGCACCAGGCGGGAAGGATTAACTCGGGTTTTTTTAAACCAAAAATAAAGCCAATTGGCAAATTTTACGGTAAAGGGAGTAAATATCCCCCCTTCCCCAAGTGACGGGAACACAAGTTCGTTTATTGGTCTTACTTTTTTAAAGAGATTATTAAAAGTCGAGAAAGTTTTACAAAATAATCAGAACTTTATTTTGGTCAAATGAAAATAAAACGCATTTAAGAGAACTCTGACGTACAGGTCTTCGCAAATATTTTAATTTCCTTCCGATTAATTAACGTCGACTTTGGTGCAAAGTGTGGGTCCCACATTGTCAAGTGGCCTGCTGAGTGGAAGAGCCTGGATAAAAGAAAGATTAAATTGAATATGGATCGAGGAGCAAACAATGGGCGGGGCATATAGCACGAATGTTCAGTTGGGAAACACAAAAGAGCGGATGCAGGTCTCTTTCCAGATCCACATGTGCCGGTGGAAGAATGCCAATAAAATGAATCATAGTAGAATCAGGTTGTGAGAATGTGGATCTTATTGAACTGGATTGAGGCAATTTAGTGACGAGCTCCAGCGAAGAGGCCGTTCCTCAGAAGGCGGGGAAATTCTCCATCAACTGAACGACTGTCATCTTATAGAACAATCTTTCATTTTTATTTCCTGTGGGGAGCCGAGGAAAACCTCGTATAATCGCAGTCGGACTGCATGCCTCCCCCAGTGTGTGAATCGGCCACGCTTTAGGACGCATTACTTACGACTTGCATCACAACTGACTTTAATGTAAAGAGATGCCAGGCTGATTCTGGTAATGGCAAAGTTTGATCTGCTGTTAACCCGAAGACGCGATACAAAATTGAATTAGAATTTTTACTTTGCGTGAAGTATTTCAGCGCCTACGTTGAGAGCGGCTTTGTGTTTGGTTGATATTCTTGTCAGAGCTCGCAAGTGACACTACTCACAACTTAAAGGGAAATGAGAGGGTTCTAAAGTAGAAGACCCAACGGGTTACTAAAAAAGTGTGCGTGCTTTCTTCGTTTTCAACAAGAACTTGGGCTGAAGTGATCGACGGATGACGGACAGAAAGAAAGAGA